TGTGATGCTGGGTTCAAACCCAGGGCACTATGCTTGCAAGGCAAGCCCTCCACCACTAAGCTACATCCTTAGTGCATTGTAAAATCTTCCTTTGAGACAGGGTCTGGCTGTATTTGCTTAGGTTTTTCAGAACTCATGAAGTCCCAGTCTCAGCCTCTAAGCAGCTGGGATCACAGGTGTGCACTAGTGCAGCCATTGCACAGGATATTTAAAAGAACAGATATATGAAAGACTTATTTTTCTTTTTTAATTTAGGTGAGTCTTTCTTAGAAGAAGCCAGACAACCCTTGCTTTCTCTGCCAAGTCTTAAAGTCTTCATTTTGGTGCTTCCTCCAGTGTAGACTGTGCCTGTCTTATGTTTTCCAGGGTAGAGTTAATGCCATGTACCATGGGATCTAGGACTATGATCAAGATGATGCCCGAGAGGACCTTGTGATGTAGAAGAGAGACACTGTTTTCTTTCACCTTTTGCTCATACATGGATCAAGTCAGAACCAAAGTCAAGGATTCCGGAAAGTATGCATCTAGTTTTTAAAGATGAGTGGGTTCAAAACAGAAAATCATAGGTATAGTAACATGTAAAGATTCATGACTTTTCACTAAACTAGATTGTTTTTTCCAGTTTACTTGCCAAAAAGTATAGTTGCCTTCCTTGTACTTTTTTTGCTCTACTCAGTGAGAAGCCAGGTGCCCTCAGGATCCTAAACCTGTTAATCACGAGTCTTGGTCATGTGAAATTGCTTCAGAGCAGTAAGTCACCTTGCAGTGCATAACTTCTGCTTTCTGAAGCAAAAGCAGTTGCTGAACTATTAAAATAGCATGTTAACTTTGCTACTTTTCCACATTTTCAATGACTATAATGTTATGGAAGATTATTTACAATTATTTCATAACAACATGTATCATAACTGCACTTTTTTTAAATTTGAACTTTGATATGGCTCTGCCTGGCACTGGAGCCTATGCAGGAAATTGAGTTTAAATTTGGGGCAAATAGAAAATCCTTCTGACAGGTATGATCACCTTAAGATAACTAACTTGTGACAAGAAGGTGGGTTTTAGCTATTGTGTTTCAGCTTACATTTGTTTAGACCTTTTTCTGGAACAGGGAGTACTACGTCTTATCCTCAGCCTTATCCTCAGCAGGAAATAAACTGGGTAATAATGTCAACTTATTGACCTCTAAATGTCCCTCTTTATTGACAG